TGCCCGTGTGCACGCATTTCAAGGCGTCTCATTTTCATAGCATTCTATCATTGTCTCGGTTTGCGTGCCCGTGTGCACGTACTTCGAGGCAACTCATTTTCATCATTTCCGTCATCGCCTCGGTTTACGTGCCCGTGTGCACGTACTTCGAGACATCTCATTTTCATCATTTCTGTCATCGCCTCGGTTTGCGTGCCCGTGTGCACGTACTTCGAGGCATCTCATTGCATAGCATTCTGTATGTTAGGATTATATCTTAGTTGCATTTCATGCATATCATGCATATTGCATTGTGTCTGGAGTAGGAGTTAGCCCGGGCACGGGAAACGAGGTACATTTCGTACTCCGAGTGACGGAATGTGTCTCAATTCCCCAGTTACCGACACTCCGGATTATCCATGATGGAGTTAGGTTTTAGCTGTAGTTTCATGTGCATTCATCCTATATTGAGTTGTGCATTTTGACTCCTCGGCCATCATGCCTCGGTATGCGTGATTGGTGGCACGAGGATCGAGACATGCATATATTTGTGCAAATACATTGCTATGCCCCTTTCCTGCTCTCTGTTGCAGCAAAACGAAGAATCAGCAATTTTTTTTTTTTGGGCTCAGCACGCATTTCAAGAACAGGTGTCAACAGAGGCTAATTGGGGCATTCCGGTGGATTTCCGCGCAAGACGGCCCGGACATGCATCGTCCATCAGAAGCAAGACAGCCCCTGGCTTGCACGCCAGTTTTACCTGCTTTCTTAGTTAATTCATTAATTAATTAGAATTCTGTAATATTATTTTGGACTGTAATATTCTTTTATCTGGGACTGTAATATTCGGACTGTATTATTTATTCGGACCCTCCGAGTGAGGGCACAACTGTAATAAGTGTGCGTGAGTGTGATGTATGTCTTCCAACCCCACGTCTTTCTCCCTTTTATTTATCCGCTTATGATGGTTAGATTAGGGCATATTTAAATTAGCATACAGTATAACAACATGTTTGCATTCATTCATCTGTTTTGCATGCACCGGGCTCGGCGCATCATACTAACTGCATTGTACTTTCAATTTCAAAGTTGAATACATGATAGTTGTAACATTTCATATGCCATCTTAGAATAGCCGAGCCTACTATAATTGCATTTTGTATGTGTTGCATTAGGCATTTCTGTACACTTAGGATCATGCATGATTTCTAATGTAGTTCCTATTTTGGCTTGGAGTACTCGGTAAGCTTTATGCTTTAGCATCCTTGCAATGTCGTGATCAAAAGTATGTGAAGTGAATGCCATATAGCATGCCCTTACCATGAAGGCTATGTGCTTATCATTATTATTCTCTGCTAGCTTGAAATGCATGTGGTAGAGGTATGGGTTAATCTTGATTGGAATGAATCATCAAAATATTTCATGCCTACCTGCGGGTAAGCAAACTCATTTTTCAAAAACAAACGTTGAAATTGTTTTATTCCAATTCGGGCGACCCGGTTCTATACTGATGTGCTGTGCGCATCACATAGTAACCTAGGTTAATAACGGCTATAAGAACTCACAATGTTTTCAAAAACTGAATCATGGTTAGTAAGAGGCCGATCTTTGATCGGGCGAGCGGGGGTGCTCACGAAGTGACCTTCCCTAATCGTACCCAAGTTCCCGAGCCGATGCAACTTTGGTGATGACGGACACGTGGCCTTTTGGCACCGAGTCAGGGTTTCCTAAATTTCCCAAAATAAAATATTTAGGTGGCGACTCTGTATCTGGCAAAGCAGTCCATGTTTGGCACTTCTTTCAAAAATCTGTTTTTCTCAAAAACGATTTGCCGGATTTGGACTCTTTGGTTCAGACTTAGAACCGTGACATTTTGAGAGTCCGAGCTGTAGTGACCCCAAATGAACAGAACGGGACCTAAACCCTCCCGGGGCGTTCGGGGGACGTCTACACATTGTTATGCCCGATTACATTTAACAGTTCCCTATTTTTGGATAGTTCATATGTTTTGGTTGTTTAGCAGTTTCAGTTTGGCGTTGATTTATGATAGGGATGTTTTTGATAGACATAATCACAGATTGATATTGACGTTTTGGTTTATATGTGTAGTTTACGTTACATTTTGTTTATGTGGTTTGATGACGTAAATGCGTTGTGGGGATTGAAGTCGTTATTTTTTTAACTTTGTGCTGATGTGTATGTGTTGCGAATTGTTTGTGAAATTTCACGAATGGATTGAGGTGTTTTTGTTCGCGTTGTCGGGTTGTCAACAACCCACGATTCGTAGTAAGTGTTGAAATGGTTTAATGACGAAACTATGTTGTGAGGATTGAAGTTGTTGATGTTTTAACTTTGTGGTGATGTGTATGTGTTGTGAATTGTGTGTGTGAAATATCACGTATGGTTTGGGGTGTCATTGACATGTTCTTGTTGGCATTGACGGGTTGTCAACAACCCATGATTCGTAGTACGCGTTGTGTGCAAGTGTTTGTTTTAAGGGGTAATGAATGTGTGTATGTGTTACGTGTGGGTTTTAAGTTTGAGTTTGACTGCTTGTAGGATAGATTCACATTGTAATTTGTTGAGACTGTTGTCACACAAAGCTCGTTCAGGAGTAGTTACACGAACATTCCTACTGACCTACGTGTGTTACTTTATGGTCAGCGTGGCAGTTTGCGATGGCCAGCCGGTATGAAATATGTAACGTACAGAATTTAATGACTTAGGTTTGGAGTTGAAAAGTACCATTTTTAATGACCATTACATCTAGGGGTGTCCGCGGTTCGGTTTGGGGCGGTTTGCGGTTCGGTTTGGACCCGCCTGCATCTATGCGGTTTAGGGAAAAGTCAACCCGCAATTGCCCGCAATGCGGTTTGTGCGGATTGGGTTCGCAGATGTGCGGGCAGTTTGCGGATTGAACTTTTTTTTCAAAAATTTATTTTTAAACCTTTTTTTTTTCCTCCCATTTTGTCAATCTTTATTTTGGACCTTTTTACTCATATTTTCTAAAATGCTCCAACATTAATAATTAATGAATTAAAACTTATAAAAAGCTTATAAAATAAAAAACACAAAAAATTCAATTCGTAACCTAAACAAATCATTCAAAATCTACATTCATCATTAACTTGCATTCATCCTACATTCATAATTCATAACCCCCCCAAAAAAAAATCCTACATTGAAATTTCTACATTCATCATTCCTAACCCAAATACAAAAAAAAAAAAAAAAAAAAATATGAATATGAATAGGTAAATGAATATGAATGGAACAATAAACTTTACCTTCATGTTGTAGTCACATCCATAAGTGTAATGGATGATAAAATTTTTCCGAGTTTCCAAATCCATGGTGGCTGAAAAATCAACATAGCAAGAACTTTTAAGAAAGCTTTGATGTGCACATAATAATGTTGTATCTGTGATTCATCAATCCACTACAATTGAAAAACCTAAGAAGAGATTAACAGTGCAGGGTTCAAAACCTGTATCATAAAGTCTTTTCGAAGTATATGCTGCACACCATGCAAAGCCGAGGGCACATCATAAGCATACCTTAGTTCAAAAAAGGAAAATATAGATGTCAAAAAAATTCACCATTCCTAAATTTTAACTCAACTGCAATATAAGTGATTTATTTTCTCTATTCTACTCACATTTCTAGCACCCATCCAAATGTTTTATCAGTCTCTGGGTCATCTTTCATTCTCAAAGAAATATTCATCCATGTCGGTGCAATCTTCTCTAGAGTATCCTGGACATTTATGAAAAAGACACAAAAAGAATAACAATAGAAGCCAAAATCAACAAGCCACCGTAAACTCAAAATAGTTTAAGACTTAACATGAATTAAGATGTATTTCAGAAGTTACTGCCATGTGATAGGAAACTGAGTCAAACCAATTATTAGGAGGTAAATAGTGAGAATGGATTTTACCTTCTTGATAATAACAGGGGAATTGCCTATTGGATCAATATTTGTTACAGGGCCATTCTCCTTGGCAAAAAACTTCCTTACAATCTTCTCATGTTCTTTGGGCTTGATGTAGAAAAAAGGAAAGCCAGCAGAAAGCCCCCCATGTGCCAAATTAGGAAGTGGATTTACAAATATGTGATCAGGCTCTGCCATCAATATGTATCTATGGCAGTAGCAAACAAACAGATTTAGAGTTTACTGAATGTAAAATGTAACTCAATCATTAATAAAAAGACACTCACTCTTCTTCAATAGTAGCTTTTTCCAGCCATTGTACAAAGGCCCATGGTCTATTTAAAACAATATAACCCTGATATAGCATTTGAAAAACATATTAGAAAAAAAGTTAAAATAATAAATTAATTAAATAGTTTTAAAAATCTGACCGACATTAATAACAGCTGCATATTTGATCATAAAGGGGAGGGAGAAAATGAAGTGGGAAAAATGTTCAACTACATCTCTACTGATCATTATGGAAGCAAATAAGCAGCCTAGCTGGAACCAAGGTGTAAATCTGTGACTTGCAATTAAACTTTAGTCGATCAAGAAATCAGTTCATAAGTGTTCCTAGAAGTTTAAGAAAAACCTTAGCAGAATTACATGAAATTTTAACGACTGATTTGAGTCCTAGGAAAGGAAAATAGATCATAGGAATCAGATAGAAAGACAAAACCATCCACATATTCATTAAGAAATTATTTGAAGAGTTAAAATATGCATGATTACCCCAATTATTTTTCTTGCCTAAATTGAAATATCTAGGAGCCAAAACAGCAAAATTTTCCACCCTTTTGAGGAGCTTCAATTAGACAACACATTGTTTAACTTTCTAAGAAAACCCAAAATCCAGTCAGCTAGAGTTCTCAAGTTGCAGACATGTTGTTCAGATTTAATTTTACTTTAATAACAGATTCAAAATTCCTGAAAATAAAAAACAACTAAGAGATTACAGATTCAAATTTCAAAAAAACACAGATTACAGAAAAAAAAATCAGACCTGTAGGAATGCATTATATCACACAGATTCCTGAAAATATATAACAAATTTAATTCCAAAACAAATACACAGATTACAGATTCAATTTCAAAAAAAAAATCAGATTTATTTCCAAAGAAACACACAGATTCGATCAGTGCAAAGATGAGAGATCAGAGAGAGAAAGAAAGAGAGGCTTACCTGTGAGTCGATCAGTGCAGAGATGCAAAACCAAAGAGTGAGACTGATGAGATGAGAGAGTGAGGGAGACAAATCAGAGAGATATCTGATATATATATGTTGTAAAAAAATCAAAGATCGGGGCGAGAGACAGAGACAGAGACAGAGACAGAGACTAAGAGAGAGAGAGAGAGAGAGAGGCTTACCTGTGAGTAGATCAGTGCGATGAGAGAGTGAGTCGATCGGTGCGATGAGAGAGTGAGACGATCGGTGCAGAAGATGAACAACGAGAAAGTGAGAGAGATAGTGATGAGATGAGACTGAGAGAGTGAGGGAGACAACGATTAGGGTTTTTTGTTTTGTTTGTTATAGATGAGATGAGTGAGATGGTGAGATGGACGGTCAGATTTGAAAGAGGAAAAAAAATAATTAATTAATTGATGCGGGCGGGTTGGGCGGGTGCGGGTCAAACCCGCAACCCGCCCGCAACCCGAAATTTGTATAAAATCCAAACCGCACCCTACCCTAATGTGTTTGCGAAACCGCCCACACGCGTACGGTTCTGATCGGGTAGGGCGGTTTGGGCGGGTCAAATAACCCTATACCCAGCCCTAATTACATCGTAAAACTACCGAACACCCGAAGTTGGCTTTGTAACCCAACAAGTGTTGCAACTGTGATTTTTTGGCATTCTAACCTTCTGCCCCTCCACAAACCACATATACACATTGAAACTTGCTTACACCACACATTTGCACGCAACCATAAATTTAGGTGTGGTTACAACATTTTTAAAAAGCCAGCAAATGCGTCAAGGAATACGATGCTTTTTTACTTATGAATGTGTGGGACAATACTACCACGTATGTTGTGGCGTTAAGACTTGCAAAATTACTTGACGGGAAAAAGATATTAATAACGGAGATTACCAAATGTTGTTAAATATTAGAAAAATAGAAAAATGTTCGTGTGTCGTCGCACACGACTACCCAAAAAAAGCCATGCAAATATAATTGTTCCAGCCAACATTGTATATGTGGATGACTTATATTTAGTGCTTGTTCAAAACATTTAACTAGCTAAGGTATTATTGTAAACGGGTCCGACTGTGACGTCGTCATTAAATTGGTTCATTGCACGTTTTCCTGTTATGGTTCCCCATGCATCCACATCGGCCGCATCTGATTTGCTGCACTTGCTCTCCCTTCAACAGAATTCTCTTCTTCTTTGGCCTACCAGGTGGACGTTTCACGACGGGTGGGTAGATAACATAATCATGTTGGTTAAATGGCGGTTTCTCCACGGTAGGAATTGGAAATATGGTTGCGTCGTACGTTGAACGGCATTCACTGACATGGAAGTACGATTCAACCAAAGTGTTCAAATCCCGACTGCTCTTCTGTACGACAACCATGGCATGAGAACATGGAAAGCCATTGAGCTGCCATTTGAAACATGAACAGGTGCGGTGTCCGATGTCAACAGTGACCGACAAGAAAGAGTGGACTTCATACACGTCCTCATTAGATTGGCTAACTTTCCATGACCTCCCTTCATTGAATGCTTTTTCAAGACGAGACTCCATTTTGGGACATATTGTGTCAGTCCATGTTTGGTCTACAAGTCTACACTTCGCCATTTGTCGCATTAATTTCGCTCTAATACTGTCAACCATTCTTGTGATTGGGAGGTTGCATGCTCCTCGCACCCATGAGTTGAATGATTCAGCAACATTTGAACACAGCTCACAGTAACGACACCCCCTGTAAATAAGGTGGCATTTTTGGAAAATAAATACGACATGTATGTTAATATGTTTGGTACATGTGAATGATGTGAGTAACAATTGTGGCGTACCTAAAAAATGCATTTGCCCAATGTTGTGGAGGTGCATTTGCTAAGAATTCGGATACTATTGCACGTCTTGATTTATGGTATTGTTCAACTTTATGGTTGAAGGCGGTAACAGTTGGTGCGTAAGCATGATGGCGTAATTTGCTTACCAAACCCGCTCGATGCATACTGTTTGTGTACCACAGTCTATCCCTTAGATTCCTTTGCAAATGTTGGAGACAAAAAGCGTGCTCTGCATTTGGGAATATGGTGGGCATTGCTTCAAGCAGCCCGAGATTCCTATTTGATATGAATGTGAGAGGTCTGTTCCCATGCACCACCTAGGCAAGATATTGAAGAAACCAAGACCAGTTGACTGTGTTTTCGGAGTCAACAACCACATAAGCTAAAAGGAATATCCCTGCACAACGGAAGTAATTATGGGGTTGATGTTATTAGGTACATAAGGTGTGTTATGAAAAATTTGGCAGAGTAGGTGAATGACAACAATACAAATTATGCATGTGATATGTTTGGGTGCATGTCAATGTTGCAATGTCATTGTGGAAGTTTGAATGAACTGACCTTGGTTCCCGTCTTTCACAGTGGCGGCAAGTAAAAACCCTTTGAATTGTCCTTTAAGGAACGTGGCATCGAGGAAAAGCAATGGCTGGTAATGGTTGAACCCGTCAATACATGCTTTGAATGATATGAAGTACCGTATGAACTGGTGTGCGTAGTCATCATATTCAATGTTGGTGTAGGTTCCGGGGTTGTGTTCCATTACCGCAGTACTATACCAACGCAACTGATCGAACGAAATGGAGTGTGCACCGAATAGTTCACCTCTTGATTTTTCGACTCCTAGCCACGCCACACGGTACATGATGTCCAGCCCGTAATCCTGTTTCAGGTCCAATATAACTTCGGTGGGACGTGTTAGTGGCCTATCCCGCGCACGTTCGGCTATGATGTCTGCAACAAGTTCAGAACCAACAAGAGGGTTTGTGGACGTACGGACAGCAACGCCGCAAATGTGTTCACTGTTCCATTTACGGAGATAGAAAAATCTGTTGGCCTCTAATTTTCGTGCGTGGATAGCCCACGTGCAACCCTTCGAATCATTCATAGCACAAATGGCCGTCACCCGGACAGAGTCATTTTTGACGAACCTGAATTGGAAGCCACATTCCACGGCGTATTTTCGTAAGACATTGTGAATTTCGGAAGCCCCACTTTCGAAATGCTGTCCAATGTGGGTAAATCCATTGGCCCAGGGAGCGGAAAGGAATACTTTCTCTTTGTGTGGACAAAATGATTGCAATAGGTCCGCCTCGTTGTCCATTTCCAACTCACTTGGTACCTTGTCTCCCGCGGTGTTGTGGGTGTGAATAGCCGCGTGGTCACTGTCTGGAATTTTGCTTCCCCCACATTGGTGAAGTTCAATGATCACGTCAACTAACTGCAATCGGAACGAACGGGCAAAGCAAACCATATTCCGCATGTCCACATCGTTCTATAACGAGAAGTTGTTGTAACTCGGGATCTTGTAGAAAAACAAAATTGTTCCCGGAAGTAGCCCGTCAAACTTGGAACACACATAATTGACAAGTTTAGCAACTATGTCTAATGATTGCAAACTGTATGCGACATTTATGGACCGATAACAATATAGAAGCATCATGAAGTCTTCCATTTGTAAAATGCACATGTATTTGTGCACAAGTACGCACAGTTAAGCATCTAAAAAAGATCTGCTATAACGGAATGAAATAATTAACATATGAATACTATTGAAAACCCAACTGTCTGTCACGGTTTGGGATGAAGCTACCCCGAAAAGTCATGAGTTTTTGAAAAATGAACTAGTCAATGAATGATTTCACATCCCATATACTGCATTATAACCATCACTGGGTCGTAAAAGTTGTTGTGAATGTATAGGACATATGATGGGGATCACTGAAGAATGCATAATGAACCACATACCTGTGTGCCACCGGATGGTGTTCACGTCAAGTGCAAAATTGATGATGGCTATAGAATACGACTGTACTTACAAGCAAAAACCCTAGTTACAAAACACTACCAATGAATATTCAACACTCCTACCCCCTACAAAGTCGGGATTACACGTACCAAAACAGAACAAACATTCCATAACCGATGGAAGGGCATATCCGTCAAACAACCAGTCGCAAACATTCAAAAAGGGACTTCCCAGAACGCAATCACACCGCCCTAGGACTTGCTAAACGAACTAAAAATTCAAGGGACCAAACGGACCATAATTTAGTCATATAGGACTTTCCGATAAATTCTCCAAAATTTTAAAGAATGTTACCAATTAAATTTAATTAACCTAACATAAAAAATTAAAAATAAAATTGATACAAAAAAATAAAAAATTATATGAGTCAGATGGACACAAAAGATAAGTTACAAAAACTACTAATATGATTTGCCTCAAATTTTAACATTACAAACAACATTAAAATGCATTATAAACCAAATTAGTTCTCTCTCAATTTCCAGTTTTGAAAATAATCTTATTAGATCATAATTCTATTGTGCTTTTCATATGAGAAATGATTTCATGAATGTATGAATGTATTATCTAGTTATTTATTTTAAGTATGATATAAGTCATTCTCAAAATAAATTTTAACTATATGATAGTTTTAATATGCATTTTTTATGTTTTCATTATGTAAACCAAATATTGAGTGTACACCCCCATGCTTGGGTTAAGTCTATTTTGAGTTGCTAATTCGATAAAGTTACCTTAAATTTATTCATGTTATAAAGAGGTAACTCTTGAACTTCTTATAATTTATGTCGTTATTCTCATTCTGACACTTAGTTTCACTTGGAAAATGAGTTAATTTTTTAATTTTTTTGACTATTTTAGTCTAAAATAATCTCGTTTGGATTAATTTTTTTAATTTTTCTAATTTTTATGAAAGAAAATATAAAATAATTATAATTTAAATATAATATTTTATCTTATTAATTTTTTAATTTATTTTATCTTTTTATAACTATTTTAATGCAATAACCCATATCAAAAGGAGGCTATGATAATGCATGTTCATCTCTCCAGCTTGATTCTTCATAATGACAAATTCCATACCTGGGCCGTGCTTCAGTCCCCCACTGGGGGTCGACCACCAATGACGTGGCAGCGCGCCATTCGTTGAAATCAAAAAAAAAAAAAAATTTTGTTTTTTTTTTGGCCAATCACAGACGACCCCCAGTGACCCCCACTGGGGGTCTTAGGCATTTTTCTTCCATATCTATACTATATAATAAGTAAAAGGAAAATTTTAACCCCCAAAACCTGTAAGAGCTCCAATATGCCAATCTTAATTTTTTTAATTTTTATTTTTTTTAAAAAAAAAAATTAACCTCAGTATTTATTAACTTCTCTCAACCCAAAAGACTTTTTGACTTCTCTCATAATTACTGCAGTACCTTTTCCAAAACAAATAATTTGTATATTAAAAAAAATTTAAAACAAATATCTATATCTATATCTATCTGTTTATTTATATCTATCTCTAACCCACAAATTTTGTGGAAGTTCCAATATCTGAACCTTAATTTCTTAATTTTTTTGATTTTTTTTTTTAAAAAAACTTAGCTCTTATTAAATTCTTCCAAGTCTTTTAACTTCTCCAATGCACACTAAACCCTAAACCCTAAATATAAACACTCACAAAGAAAAAAAATATGATTGTAATGTAATGTGATTGTAGTTTGTTCAATGGCTCTTTTTTTTAATATAATTGTTGTAATTAGTTCAATGATTTTTTTTAATGTTATTTAATCTTTTTATTTACTATTTTAATTTTATTTTTAATATGATTGAAATTAGATAAACATAAACACTCACAAAGAAAAAAATGTGACTGTAGTTAGTTCAATGATTCTTCTTTTTTAATGTGATTGTAGTTAGTCAATGGTTCTTTTTTTCATTTATTTATTTATTTATTTTGTTATGAGTAATTATGAGAGAAGTCAAAAAGTCTTGTGGGTTGAGAGAAGTTAATAAATACTGAGGTTAATTTTTTTTTAAAAAAAACAAAAAATTAGAAAATTAGGATTGCCATATTGGAGGTCCCACAGGCCTTGGGGGTTAGAAATCCCATTTTGCTTAATATATAGTATAGATTTATTTTGTTATGGGAAAAATGTGATGTGATTATAGTTTGTTCGATGGTTCTTTTTTTTAATGTGATTTAATCTTTTATTTATTGTTTTAATGGTTTTTCTTTACAATTATTTATGAAAAAAAAAACATGATTGTAGTTGGATAGTATAAAAATATTTGTGATTTGATTTGATTTTTTTCTGATTTGATTTTTAAAGTATCAATTATTGATAAGGATTAGATTGTATTTTGAAAAAAAAAAATTGTAATGGATTTTTTTGACTCACTGTGTTTTTTGAAGAAAAAAATTATTATGTTTTTTTAACTATCAATGCACTTAATTTGTTATTTGATTTTTAACTCATTGTGTTTTTGAAAAACAAAATGGATTGTACTCATTAGGGTCACATAATGTACCAATTATTGATGATGATTAGATTGTATTTTGACCCCCAAAAAAAATTGTAATTGATCTTTTTAACTTACTATGTTTTTTGAAAAATAAATTATTGTGTTTTTTAATAATCAATTGACTTAATTTGTGATTGATTTTTTTAATTATTGATGATGATTAGATAGCATTAAAAAATTTGTGATTTGTATGATTGAAGTTATCTCATTTTGTTTATAATTTTATTTTTTAATATGATTGAAGTTAGATAAACATAAACACTCACAAAAAGAAAAATGTGATTGTAGTTTGTTCAATGGTTCTAAATAATCTTTTTTATTTACTATTTTAATGGTTATTTTTTTATGAAAAATAATTGTTTTTCTTTACAATTATTTTCAATTATTTAAAATAATTGTTTTTCTTTACAATTAAAAAAAATAATCATTCGACTAATTATAATCACATTTTTCTCTTTGTGAGGGTTTATATTTATCTAACTTCAATCATATTAAAAAATCAAATTATAATTTTTTATTTGCTAGACAAATCACAAATATTTTTATACGCTATCTAATTACAATATTAAAACAGTAAACAAAAAGAAAAGTTAAGAAGGAGAAAATAAAAAGAAGACTTACTGTTTGCATACGTGGTCATTGAAGTTGAAACTGTAGAAGTGAGAAGTCAAAAAGGAGAAAACAAAAAGGAAACTCACTGTTTGCAATAAGTGGATATGAAAAGCTCTTGAGGATATGAATGTCAATCATTTTATTTCTTTTATTTTTATAGGGACAAAATTGGTATTATGAAAATATAAGAATCTATTGCTTTTTTTTTTCTCTCTCTCAATCTCTCCACCTTTGGGAAGATTAGAAATGAGTGTTATAAGATAAATGAGTTTCTCTCCATTCTTCCTATTTCTCTCCAGTTAAGTTATCCAAACAAGAAAAATACATATCTCTCCATTTCTTTTCTTTTCTCTCCAAATCACACAATCCAAACGTAGGGTAAATATCTGGATTATAAAGAATTATAGGACAAAAATATAAATTAGTAATTCTAAAAAAATAAGAGATATATACAATAAGATTTTACTAATTTCTCTTCATAATTCAGAACTTATTTTTTTCAAAATTATTTTTTTTTGTGTGAGTGATTTTCTAACCACACTGCCCGCTTAGTAACTAGCTGGAGAGCACCGGTAGAATAGATGGCACCTGCTAACCTGTAACAGAAAGAAAAGGCTCCGGCGGTGGCTCTTCTACCCTAGGGCACTCCGATGATCAAGTCAGTATCTCTCTCAAAGATAATCAAGTGCTAAACTCACTACTCAAAGTATAAATTGCGTACCTTAGACCCACGGGGGTGCCATTCTTTTATAGCCAACATAAACCTAGTCCCAATAAAAGCCTAACTTCTATGGACTCCTGTTCAGTACTTACCTTGGACTCTTCAAGAGATAAAGATAAACACCCTAAGAGTTTTATCCTCATCTTGACTAAGTCTCCTCTTTATTCTATGACTCTTGTCCCTTATCCGTTTATCTCGGATTCCGATATCTTCAGAGATAACCTCGGCCTTTCCGAGATCACCTTGGCGTAATGACTAGGACACGTGGCACCTCGGCTGACACATCGGCGTCACCTTGCCACGTGTTGGTACTCAGAAATATATCTCCACAACTGCCCCCTAGGTTCTATTACCTTGGCATTCTGAGGTGATAGAACCTATATCATTCCGTTTTTCCAGTACGTCGATTTTCAATATCTCAGCCGAGATCATTATTTTGGCCGATATCTTTTTATTGAAGAACAAGAATTTCAAGAACCCTTCCACGCGTATGAGCTGTCATACACCATAATTCAACCGTTTCTAACCACGCGTTTCTTTCTCACTGGTTCGTACCTGTGACGCGCCCGTAAGTCATCTCTTTCTCACGTGCGCCGTCTGACGTATG